GGCCCAGCGGAGACACAGAAATGCTGGGAGGGCTGGAGCAGCTCTGCTGTGAGGACAGGCTGAGGGAGTTGGGGCTGTTCAGCCTGGAGAAGTGGAGGCTCCCAGGGGACCTTATAACAACTTTCCAGTACCTGAGAGGGGCCTACAAGAAAGCAGGGGAGGGACTGTTCACAAGGGTCTGTAGGGACAGGACGAGGGGTAATGGGTTTAAGCTAGAAAAGGTTAAATTTACATTAGACATCAGGAAAAAGTTCTTCAGTATGAGGGTGACAGATCCCTGGAATAGGTTGCCCAGAGAGGTGGTGGAGGCCCCATCCCTGGGGACATTCAAGATCAGGCTGGATGAAGCTCTGGGTAGCTTGATCTAGTTGGCAATGTCCCTGCTCATGGTGGGGCGGTTGGACCTTTGGAGGTCCCTTCCAGCCCAGACATTCTATGATTCTATGAGGATAATGCTTCATTTAAAGAGAAAACAGATTTTCTTGCTCAGGTTATGAGTACATGGAAAACTGTTACACTCCAGAGCTTCCCTCGTGGAACAGCCTTACAAAACCAGGCCCTGACTCCTGCTGTGCTGGGACTCCAGGACAGAGGAGGTGGCCAGCACAGTGACACCTGTAGGATGCTGAGGCATCCCTGCAGACCCCTGTGCTGCCAGCAATGGCTTTACGTGTGCCCAGAGGCCATACTGCTGAGCAGCATCCCTCTGGTAGGGCTGGAGATACAGGCTCCCAGGTGAGCTCCCTGGGAGAGAGGTAAAAATAGCTCCTCCAATAGCTCTGTGCAGCAGGCATGGCCAGATGCTGCCTGTGAGGAGCACACACTGTGCCCTGGGGCTCTGGCTGCTGCATCTCAAGGGGTACCTGGAGGAGCACCCAGAGGTGTTCCCAGGTCCCTTACCATAGCCTGTACCAAGCCTGTCACGATGTGGTTCTGTTTATTGTCCTGTTTCCTAGCAGAAGTCAGTAGACAAGGAGGAGGCACGGGGGACAGCACACCATCCTCTGGGCACCCCACTCAGCAGCTCAGCTCCGAGCAGCTCCGTCCCTCTGCACTTTAAATTTCTTTACCAAGAAAGCTTGGGAAGATTTCTGAAAACTGAGAAGCCAGATGGCTTCTTGGGCAGCAAAGGAGCAGAATGATGCCACAGAAATAGGTGCACAGACAAGTTCTAGAGAGCCAGGCTCATGGGGACAGCAGCAGATCCAGGTGGGGATCACACCAGCCGTGGTGGGGGAAGCACCTCCTGTGGGACAGAGCAGCAGAGGAAACTCTGTCACAGCCCCTGGCCAGGAGTGAGCCAGGAGGGAGAGTTTGTGTGGTGCCCCCACAGGTTGCTGGGCACGGCTGAGGATCTGTGGGAGCCCCAGCAGCCTTCTCCTGCTGCCACGGGGGTGGGGGGCTGGGGAAGGGGCTCAGATGCTGGGCCAGGCTCTGCTGATGCACAGGGAGCATCAGCTCCTCCTTACAGCACCAAAGGTGAAATTCAGCTCTGTGTGGTTCTGCAGAAACAGTTACAGTATTTAGGTTACAGAGATAAGTAAAGACTCAGGATTCCCGTTGCCTGGACAACCATCTGCAGTGGCATTACAGCCCCTGTCTGTAGTGATGGGACCACATGTTGTGCATAAGACAGACCTTAATTCTGTCCCGTGGCTGCCCCACGGGCACCATGAGGGGTTTGTCCTGCCATGTCAAGTGCTCCCCATTGGGCTCTTGTTGCTATGTACTTTTATGACAAAAATTTGATTCTACAAGTTTAAGCTTGGTAGAGCATTCACTCAGAGGAAGTAACACACTCCTGTCGTTCCTAACCTTAACACAGCCCCAGGTTTAATTTTCTACTTTACTTTCTACTCCCCCAAAAAACACCAGACTCAGTGCTCCTGCACCTGGAAAGCACCAAAGCACCTGGGAGGGTGGGGATCACACACCCAGAACCCTCCCGTTTTCACCTGTGACCCCAACTGACATCAGCAGCAGCTGGCTGACCCTACAGAAGCACGTATTTGATTGTGAAAAAGTGAAATTGTAAAAGACTTTGAAGGAATCCACTTGTGTGCAAGGGGCAAACCAGAGCTCGTGGTTACTTCATAACAGAGATTGAAGATTAAGTTCAGTGCTGGAGAGGAATGAGGGTAATGGTGCCAGCTCCTGTTTGCTGAGCGGAACGGGTCATTTCACAATCACCATCACTCCCAAACAACTAACAATTATGGACCCAGGCTGTTCTGAGGAGAGGCTTCTGGGCTGGCTAAGAAGAAATGAGCTGAGTTGCCCACGCAGGCTCTTGCTCTGCTCTGAGCTGTGCCTGCTTGGCACACCCCAGGACACTGCCCCAGGGGTACCCCCTCGCTGCCCCCCGTGGCACAACTAGCTGAGCAGGGACTACGTGGTCCAGAGCAGCTACTGGGAAGCACCATTAATTTTTAGGATTGGTGAAGTTTTAGCTGTGATACTTTTTCAGCATGACCTCATCTTGCTTGCATAGCTGACTGCAGACAGACAGAAGCTTTCTAGAATCATCCAATTTCTTTAAGTGACCATTATGCTCTTACTGACTGAAGGCAGCAGCAGAATAAACCCCGCAAGAGCCCATGCCCTCCGCATGGCTGGAGCTCAGACTGCACAGCATGCTGAGGCTCACAGGGGTTTTTTAATCAAGAAATGTATTTTCCAGAAGAAACTCTAAGCCCTGACAGTGAAAGAACAGCCCTGTTACACAGAATATCCCTGTAATGATAATCTGAACAGAATCAGACTTTATCCCCAGCAACAAACAGTGAGTGTTCACGACTCAGTCCTTGCAAATAAATGCATTTTAAAAAACCTAGTTTCTAGATGTTAGAAAAAGCAAAATGAGGCTGTCACTATTAATCTCCTCAATTGTTTCTTCACCTTTATCTCTTTCCTCTTAAAGATCCCACTAGGATCACCTACTCTGAAGAAACACAGAAAAATTATAATCAGAGGCAGGCTAGTTTTATAGGCTCAGGAAGAAAATAAAGATTACCAGCACCAGAGCATCATCTTCCCTGCAGCACCAGGAAGTTAATCAGTGAGAGCAATTAAATCAGTGGATTCTAGCTGCAGCCCCTCTGCAGTCAGTAATTTCTCTCCTCAGAGGGCTGATTCCCACAAGTAACCTTCCAATGCTTTTCCTCCCCACGGGTTCTCTGCCCTGCCTCTGCCTTCCTTCCAGGGAAAGGCAAGGCAGAGCTCCCACAGAGTTTATGGGCAGCAGCTCCAGCCCAAGCCCTGTCAGGTCTTTTCAGACAGCACATACAAACACTGCAACTTGTGCACCCGTGTTGTGGGAAACAGCCACAACCATCTACCACAGAAGCAGGGGAAAGGGCCAGTGTCCTGCACAGTCACTGTGTAGAAACACTTTTGCTATGAAATCTGCTTGGAAGTGGTATTAACAACAATATATGCCAAGCCACTACTTCCTTTGCACCTTTTTTACACCAGTTCTCAAAACACAAAATTAGACCTCATATTATTCAAGTCTGAGATTTGGATTAAATAGATTTCAACTGGCTATGCATCGTGTGTCACTAGCACAACATTAAAAATGGTTTTGGTTGCTCTTGCAGCAAAACTTGCAAAGAAATTTCCATCACACAAACGAGGGAATAAAAAGAACTCCCACCAGCATCCCAGCTAGCTCTCAGATACCCAGGATCTCCTGCACCTCACCCAGCTCCACTCCAGCAATGTTTTTTTCCCTGTAGGAACTTTTTTAGCCAGTGCCTAACCAAAAAGCTGGACAAACTGCCAATCAGAAGCCAGCTAAAGAGAAAATACCTTTCTAGAATAATATCAAATTGGTTTATGCCCCTAGAGCTGATTAATACAACTGAACCAGACACAAAAAGATTGAAAATATGGACAGCATACACAGTAACTCAGGCCAACAACCTCGCCAATTAATTTGTGGTTGGGCAAATTTACCAAACAGACCATTTCTGAAGACCAGAAGCATGAGGTTCAAAGGGAGGGGGAAACCCCCCCCCAGCATGACACCACAGAATGGCTCTGGTGATTGTTCTGCTTCTGGGTCAGACAGGAGAAGTCTCTCCAGACACCTGAATAAAGACTCAGAGAGCCTGGAGCCACCACGTGTGTTCTGTCCAGGGACAGGGTCTGGGAGGGGAGTGGCCGTGACCCTCTGACAGAGAAATCACTTTATACAA